CAGGAGGCATTCTTGTCATTCAGTTATTTCCTCTCCACATTTCCACCAGCCAATTTATTTATTGTTTTCTTTTTGCAATATCCCTTCTTACATTTCTGTCTCATTATGCAAAGGAAGAGTGCTCTTTTCACAGTGAAAGAGCATGCGTGTATCTTTGTAGTTGAAAAACTGCATCTTAGAGATATATATATCAAATAACCATGATAAAAACGTTTTTGATTGATGGAAAGCAGGATAAAAACACAAAGTCCTGTACTAATTTGCATAATAGAAACTGACAGATTCTTGCTAAGTTTTTTTTTTCATTTTAATTCCAGTCTTGACTTTAAGCATAAGCTCCACAGGTTTTTCAGTGTTGTAATGTAACGACAAGCAGCCATAGAAGAACATTTAACTGGGTGTGGGTCAGGTGTTCCAGCATCATTGTCAAAGACCAATACAAAGTGGTATATAATTGTGAAGTAGATAGAAAATTATACATGATTAAAATAAAAATTACAAATAAAAAACTGAAAAGTGCGGTTAGCAAAAGTATTAAGCCCCCCTGAGACAATACTTTGTGGAACCACCTTTTGCTGCAATTACATATGCTGATATGAGGGTACGCCCATTCTTTTTTTAAAAACATCTCAGTCAGATTAGATGGACAGCGTTCGTGAACAGCAGTTTTCAGATCTTGAAAACACCGATTCTCGATTGGGTTTTGGCTTTGACTGGGCCATTCTAACACATTGGTTTGTTTTGTTTTAAACCTTTTAATTGTTGCTCTAGGTTTTTGTTTAGTTCTATTATGCCGGAAGATGAACCTCTGCCCCAGTCTCAAGTCTTTTGCAGAATCCCACAGGTTTTTTTCCAAGGTTCGATTCATCTTCCCCTTAACTCTCCTTTGACCCTAAAAGAAGCACTCCTGGAACATGCTGCTTCCACCACCATAATTGACAGTGGTAGTGCTCAGAGAGCAGTTTTAATTGTCCACCATAGTGTTTTGCATTTTGGACAAAAAGTTACATTGTGGTCTCGTCTGACCAAAGCACCTTCCGCTACATGTTTTCTGTGCCACTAACTGTCAAACTGCTAACTGGACTTCTAAGGGTTTTCCTTTAACAATGGCTTTCTGCATACCACTCGACCATAACGACAACATTGGTGTAGTGCACAAATAATAGTTTTCCTGTGGACACTTCCCTCCACCTGAGCTGTGGATCTCTGCATTTCCTCCGGAGTCACCGTGCGCCTTGTTAGGATTGGTAACTGGCCAACACTCTGTTACTTCCAGTATTTCTACTTTTAGGGGTAGGCCCAGCCCAGAAGATAAATGTCCATCTCGGCAAGAGCCGACTGAGATCCTCAGGGAACTTTGTCAATGAGAGCCCAGTGCTGATTTACTTCACCTGTGATCTTTTTATCCTTGGGATAAAAACTCCACCTTTAACTTATGGATTACGTGCTATGTAATTTAGTGCATGACTTTATTTCCCTGCTCCTGACACCCTGCCACACCGCAACCTCCATCGACCATTGGTCCAAGCCCAAACCAATCCATTAATGATCCGTCAGATAAAGAGATTAAGAAACACCCACTGTCAGAATCCGGGAGGCGGCTGTGTGCTCAGAAGTGGTATCGGCATGGTGTACTGCCTTGACTTGGTTTAAAAGCACAGGATTAAAATAGCTTTACTCAGCTTTAAACTCTGTGGTCTAAATTGGATTTTTTACTTTTTGTTGTTGATACTCAGAATTATTGGTATTTCCCATAGAATAAGAACTTTTTGGTTTTCATTTGATTAACTCGAACTTTTGTTTCCTTCTGTTTTTACTAGAAAGATCTTAACTTTTTGACTTAGTGTTTTTTTTTTTTTTAAATTGTAATAATTAAACGTAGAATGGTGTTGTGACAGGTTGAGGGTTTTTCTTTTTTAGTACCCTGTTTGTGTTGCCTTTAGTTACGGTGCTGTTTTGAGTATAGTTGGTCTGTTGCAAGTCCCACTTCTTCATTTCATTTTTTGTTTCTTTCCTTTAACCCATTTTTCAGAGGCGGGTTGCAACAAGCTTAAACCTGCTTTAAATTTCTCCACAACTTTGGCCCTGACCTGTAGGGGATATGGACTCTATTTGGTCGTTAGCAATCATCGGGCAATTTCAATAGGAAATTGGTTGCACCCCGCACTTTTCACTTTTTTAATTTTTTTAATGTTTTAAATCATGTATAATTTTCTTCTTAACAATTATATACCATTTTAAGTTGGTTTTGCGCATGAAAATTTAAATCTAATATATTTATATTTGTGGACATGTTTGGTATTCCTATCTCATACAGGCAGAGCTGCTGATTGAGCAGAGTGGATCTAATGTATTTTACACGACATGACAAGTCTTCAGCCTTTCAGTTCTTATCTCCTTTGATTTGCAACATATGTCCACAATAGTGGCTCAGCATCCCACGTGCATGTTCTTTTTTCTGATGATGATTTTCTGTCAAAACAAGAAATACAAGCCAAAAAGTTGCAGAACAAAATTACCTCTGACAAGGGGACTATTTGGAGGGTGGCACGGTAGTGTGGTAGTTAGCACTACCTGGGTTCGAGTCCCCGGGGGGAACCAGGACCTTTCTATGTGGAGTTTGCATGTTTTCCCTGTGTCTGCGTGGTTTCTTTCCGGGTTTTCCGGCTTCTTTCCACAGTCCAAAAACCTGCATGTTAGGTTGATTGGACATTCCAAATTGCCCTTAGGAGTGAGTGTGAGTGTGCGTGGTTGTTCGTCCTTGTGTGACTCTGTGTGGACCTGCGATGGACTGGCGGACCGTCCAGGGTGTACCCCGCCTCTCGCCCTTTGACTAATGGGATAGGCTCCAGTCCCCCCCGCGACCCCATTAGGGAATAATCGGTGACGATAATGGATGGATGGATGGATGGAAGGGGATTATTTGTCGTTACAGAACGACCATGTGAATGGGATGAATCATTTGTCTTTTGAGCATGATTGAAACGATAAAATTGTGGACAATATTAAGGGTATGCCTTTGGCTCTGGAGCACTTCACATTAAGCACTGGAAGCGCCCATTATGGGTGGGGTTGCAGCCTTTGGTGAAGTGGGGATTCCCTAACAGTCTATGATAAGAACACTGGCTCTGTTGACTTTTTGCTTTTCTGATTTCCTATGCGTCCTGTAACAAATGGTGGGTACTTAATGGAATAGCAGTTTGTGGCTGAGTTCATGTAGAGGGCAGCCCTGCAGTGTAGTGGCTGAAGCGTTCAATTTTGAGTAATTTAGTTACTGCCACATAGGTCACTTGTGTAAATAGGAGTAACATCAGTAGGCTTAGTTTGGAGCTGTCTTTATGATTGTGTTGCTCTCCACGTCTATTATGGCTGTCCATAAATGAGTAAGGAAGAGAGAATAGTTTGATGGTTTATATGAATGTCAAGGCAATGACAGAGCATAAAATAAAGAAATACACATTCACTTCTATTTTCCATTTACTGTCAACTTTTTACAGTTTGAGGATCTATTGGTCCTAAGATAGTGTTCAAATCGACAGGTGGTCTCATCGGAAAGATTTTTTTTTTTTTACAAACTGGTAATTTTTCCCCGAAGAACAATTTCTTCGGGTTACCATCACCATTTTAGTGTATGGCAGTTCAACAGTACCTTGTTATGGGGACATAAGCAAGGTACTGTCAATATGAGAGCTAAAAATTAAGCTTCTGCTCTCGTTTGTAGGGCCATGTTGGTGCATTTTGATCACCTTTTTGTTTCTGTTTTTATTTCTAGATGGTTATTTGAGATGAGGTTCTCCAACTTCTGCAAATCTCCTGGCAACCATTTCAGTAGTCCAGAGATAAATTGGCATGTGGGACAAGTGACTTGATATAAATAATATCAACTAGTATTGGGGTCATGGAGGGCCGAAAGTTAAATCAGTTATGTATGTTAACTTTTGAAAATAAGGCGATAGGATTTTAATCTGACCTGGGTATGCTATCAAATATAATACCCAGTGTACTCAATACTCAGTATTGATTTAGGTGCTTAGTGGCTAAGAAAGTTCTTATAAATTTGAACATTTTTAACATGTTAACACATGCTGATGAGCTTTAAAACCAACATTAAGTTATGAGACAGACTTCAACTGTGGGGTGTGTTTGACACAACCTTTTGGCACATTTCCACTTGCTCTTGGGGAATGAACAAACTTTAATAGAAGTAGCTGATTATTTAACAATACAGTGATTTAGCTTGATTCGTTCATGTCATCATTCAGGTCAGCAGTTATTGTGTGACAACAAAATAAACTGTTAAAGTTGTGTAAAATTGAGCTGTTTCCATTTTTTTCCCAAATTCACATAAACCAGAGGAAAACACACCTGTTTATGAGAAATGTAGTTTAGTTTTGTCTGTTTAGTCCTCAGCGGAAACCCTGACATCAAGTTTCAGTTTCTCTGCTTTGTCTAGAAGCATAAACATAATGTAGACTTAAACTGTGTTGGTCTTGTGTCAGGAGTGATCCACTCCTGGGGCTGCACGACTGGTTTCTTATCCCAAAAGCAGCACAACAGGCGTCCATCTGGTACCAGAGCATGGTGTGTTTCTGACAGTGAATGAGGCTCATTCATCAATATACATTTCTCATTAAGTGCACATCCAGAACATGGGCCTATAGAGGCTTAATTCAAAATATACCCATCTGAGAATTCGTTAGGACTTCTTTAAAATGTCTTATACAGACAAGCGGTAGAGCTGGGATACATGTTTCCAGTACTCTCCAAAATGCTTGTTTACGTTCAGCTAGCCATTTCCGGCATGCTACCTTTATGTGTAAATTTTTTCGGTTCAGAGACAAGGAAAATGGATTTCTTAATATTTTATGAACTAAAAGAATAAATGAAGCAGTACATGCAGCAAAAGTCAGACTTTAGAAAGATGAATGCCTTGTTCAGATTCAGAACTCAACCATAAAGTGGTGGTTGAGTCAACACTCATTGCAACATCCAGGGCTGGGTTGATACCAAGATGTGTCAAGATTTAGTACTCAGTCCAGAAAAGGAAACATTAAACCCTCTCTCTCCTTTATGAAGGGCTGCCTTTGCCCTGACAAAGCCGCTCAAGATGAACATGGTGAAAAGGATCATGGGGCGGCCGAGGCAGGAGGAGTGCAGCCCTCAGGACAACGCACTCGGCCTCATGCACCTGCGGCGCTTATTCTCGGAACTCTGCCACCCTCCTCGTCACATGACCCAGAAGGAGCAGGAGGAGAAGCTCTACATGATGCTTCCTGTGTTTAACAGGGTAAGTCTTGGCCAAATGTGCAAGGATGTGCTCAAAGTGCACCAAACAAAAACAAGATGAATGTAGACATTACTAAAGATGACAGTATGTATTGCGTCTCTTAAGGTTTTAGATGAGCCCAGTGAAAGGAAATTTGCTTTACTGATCATTCTTCCTTATGTTATGCCTTTTTTTGGTTTGTTTATTGCCACAGTGCTAGGAAGTCCCATTGAGTGTTCTCTTCCAGCTGAAGTGCCTCACCAAGGGGTCTCTTGACTTGTCAGCTAATTACCCAGCACTGGCTGCGATGCACATATTGATGGCATAATTCATGTCTGAATTCAAATGTAAAGCATCCCCGGAACAGCAGGACACCATGCTTCATGTCAGCCATGTTTCATGTCAGATTTACTGGATAAATAAACACACGATGAGCGTTTTGTTGAATGAGGTGTCGTCTATCTGTGAAGACCTAAGTGAAGGGTCAGAAGGCTTTGCAGGTGCAGAACATGTCAGGAATACGTGGATGGTGTGATTTCAGCATTAAGCATTTGAACAAAAAAAAACAAAAATATATTTTTCTCCCAACAATTGTATTTTACAATTTTACGATTTTACAATTTTACAATGTAGTTTACATTTTTTTTCTAATTTTTTTTAACCCAAACTGATGGGAAATGGGGATAAGAGGGAGGTCCAGAACAAGTTTAACACCACCACAGCCTTATGATTTAGGGCCTGGTTTGCATAAAAGACACTAATAAAGATTTGGGAGTATTACAGCTGTTGTGCTCTGTGTAGAGATGGCCAAGATGCAACATGAAATTTATCCAAATGAGTATAAAACGTTTTAGGATGAGCTAATGACAAAATGGCAAAATTCTCAGGCTGGAAAAATATAGATGCAAAGCTAAATAAAGAAAAAAATAATATCCAGACTTATTAAACAAGAGAAATGAGAGGAAATAATGTGGCCGCTCACGCTTACAAGAATATACAGTTATGGGAAATATGTATGGGGGCAAACGATGTGGCTGGGAGGAAAAGCAGAAAAAGGAGTCTTTGGTCTTCTTTCCTGGTGTTTATAGGAGATCACTTCATCAGGTGTCTGTTCTCTGTGAGCTCCGTGAGCTTTAACCTGTCTGAGTTCATAACTGGCTGCTTCAATTCCTATCAATTAAAAAGGCACTCTAGAGCACTTGAAACTGTCATTCACTGAGAGAATGTGATAAGTGGTGTGAGGAGAACTGAAAACATTGTTTTTCACATTTGTGTGAAGTTTGCCATCATGTAAAAAACAAAATTGGAGAATTAAAACTGAAGCTCAGATGCACATGGATTAGCAGGTCACGTGTTACGTGTGTTAGTTTTTGACTATTTATCTATCTGTAGATATTTTTTTTGTATTCTCAGTCTTTTAATGATATCATGTACTGTAGCTGATTAAAATCCCTACATTTTTAACAATTGTGTTACCCTGACTGTACCTTTTATTATTTTCAAAGGCATTGATTTACAAATGACCCAACATTTCCAAAAAACAACAACAACAGTTTATGAATTTTAATGTTAACAATCTATGTAGTTTATTTGTTTGGAATATTAGGGGCTTTTTGTTAAACTGACGTGTCTGTTTCAGGTCTTTGGAAATGCTCCACCCAGTAGCATGACGGAGAAGTTCTCTGACCTGCTGCAGTTCACCACCCAGGTGTCACGCCTCATGGTGACCGAGATCAGACGAAGGGCCTCTAACAAATCCACTGGTAAGCTCCTGAAACGTGTTAATGCCAGTACTATTTTCTTGTGGCAGTCATAAATATTTACCAGAAAACAAGCTCCACTTGCTTTCTTTCACATTGAAAAGGGGAGCCAAAAATTGTTGACAGTTGTGGTGACTTTGAGTGATTTCCTATCAGGAGGGATGTTTAACAGGCTGACAGACATACATAAACAGACGCACAGCCTCCATCTCTTCGTCTTTGGTTTCTTGTTCTTTATCGAATCCTACTATGTCTCCTCGGACCCTGCCTGAACATACAATGTGTTTTTTTCAAGCTCAAACAGGTTTTTGTAACATCACAGTTTAAACAAAAATTCTAAGCAGCAAGCAGACAGTTATTTGGATATGAAGCAAACATAGTTTTTGGGGCCATCCACTTTGATTGTTTTCTGTCAGATACGCTGCTCATCATTCTGGCAGCCACCTGCCTGGAGCAGAAACCAACAGGTGTCACTGTTTGTCTGTGTGACTCTCCTTTAATTTATTTGCTTTTGCAGAGGCTGCTAGTCGAGCGATTGTCCAGTTTTTGGAGGTGAATCAGAGCGAGGAAGCAAGTCGGGGATGGATGCTCCTCACCACCATAAACTTGCTGGCCTCCTCCGGACAGGTCGGTAGAAAAGCTGATGGGCATCCAATTGCTTTTGAAGGATTCCTCTTTATTTGTGAATAAGACAAGATAAAAAAAATCTGAGGAGGCAAAACAAAAAAACACCTGTGAAAAAGATTTGAGCTCTTTTATTCTCTGTTCTTTGATCTTCCAGCAGAAAGTGGGGCAATTCCACTTTTCCAGGCACCACTTAAAAGTGACCTCACTCTGGTTTCATGTTCTCAAACTGCATTGCCAGGCGGTATATATAGTATATACCATACATGGCATAAAGATTCAAAACTTTTGTTTGGTTTCAAAGATGAGTAATTTTTATAGTGTCCTCATAGATGTGCTTCGGGAGGGGGGGAAATGAATTTGCTACACTGTCTTTTTCAGATAAGAAAGCACTTTGGCTCTTCTATAGGTCAGAATTTCAAGTAATTCTGCTAACTGTTTGACAATGTCTATTTTTATTGAGTCATTTCTTCTCTTTATTTTTGTAAATTATTCAATTTGAATCATGAATATGTTGGGTTGTTTTGGATTTGTTAAGAAATCCAAATGCAGATATATTAGACAAATATTTTAAGTGTCTGTTTGACTCTGCCATGAAGGCAGGAGGTGGAGCTAAAAGTTAAATTATTCGTTACCGTTGACTCACGGTGGCCTTTGCCCTGTGTCGTGGCTCTGGTCTTATTTTAAACATACATCTGAAGTCAATGTGCATCTCTTTTTGTCTTAGAGACATATAGCTATAAGTACATAATTGTATTAAAACAAAGTCATCCATCGCCATTTCGACGTTCATTTTTTCGCAGTTTCACTGTATCGCAGACTTTTTATTTGGATGTATCTAATTTTATATTGTGGATTTTGCGCTAAATTGCAGGATTTCACGGCACCTACGTCTTTTAAAATATTTCTTATTTTACTTTCTGGGAACAAGCATATTGTAGCTTTAAAAAATTTAAACAATATAAAAACTTTTAATTAAAACATATTGAAAGAATGCTACATGGAAATACAATAAATAGCATAGAGCAGATTACTCACACGTACAGAAAGCGCAGCTACAGGGTTGGGCGTTCTGGAAATTAACCCCTCACGATAAATGAGTGACCACTTCAGTCCATTTCTTGTGGTTCTGATAATCAGAGTCATAAACGTAGCCACTGTTTTTTCTTTTTCAAAGGTGGTATACAGCACAGACAGCCAGAGATGTAGTGCATTAAGCTCTTGTTTTTTATCTCTTTCCTCTTGTTCTGTGGCCAGCAGGTATCTTTTGAATGTATTTTTCTTTTTAAGCCTTAATTCCTTTGGCGTTTTTGTGGGGAACGTTACTGTCAACTGGCTGGCTACTTTTCTCGCTCAGCTGCACACCAGAAATTCTCCTCTGTTATTCATTCGATCACCTCCCCTCTGCAGACGTGGGACGAAGCCTCTCTTTTCTGCCTTTTTACTTGATTTATTCATTCCCGACATGACCTAGCCTTGCAATATCTAAATTTAGAGGACATTTTTACAATATACTTTGATAGCAGTTATTTATATTTCTGTCCAGTAAGATGGAGTTTGGCTTCTGCATAATTTCTGCTTAGGTTTACAGTTCTGTTAGTGGCTTCCCATGTTCCCCAGCTCACACCAAACATTTCTAGATTCCCTTTCCCTGTGTTTCAGTGTCCCCTCATGCCTTTTTTGATCCCATCAGCATTTTTAGAATTATTTCTGGGCAATTTAAATTTGTCAGTGACAATTACAGAATTAATGGTAAGCAGGTTTTCTGTTGTGTTGGTAACAGAGTGGAAAACACATTTTCATGGTTGTTCGTTTCCCAAGAAAAAAGAAAAATCAACTAGGTTGCTTCAAATAATTTATTTCTTTATTTTCACAAAACCAGATATCCCAGTGGGAACTGAGTTACATGTAGTGTGTTTGAGGTTTATGAGGGCTTAGATGAAGTGCTTAAAATCAGATTATATTTAACCCTTTCATACTATAAGGGCTTTTACTAAACTCATGGTCAGATTGGTAAATAAGTCTTGATGTCTCTAATAAGGAAACTCTCCGTTCTTTGATTTTCATCCACTGTATTTCCTCATCGTTTTATCAGATTTATTGCTAGCAGCTGGTTGTTGTTTTTATGCACCCTATCACCCCTTCATTTCACCCAGTAAGCAACAGGTTGAATAACGGGCCTTCTCTGCTGTTATCTGTTACTCTGAGAAATCCCTGCTATTAATCACGGATAAAAACTTAGCATAAGAGGTTATTTCAGATTAAATCAGTTTTATCTGGCAGAGGGAAATACTTTCAGTCCAAATGTGAAAGATTTAGATGTATATTTAGGATTTGTGGCTTTAATGAAATCATGCACAATCTTTTTTGACAGTTTTGAAGGAGTCCGTATTTTTTTAAGTTACATTTGTAGATGAAACGTGCTACACGAATAAACTTTCCCTGCCTTTTGAAATTTAAGAGAAAATAATTTCAAATGATCTGATTTTCTGTCACCTATTGATAGCAGACCCTTCAAACCATGAGGAATTAACCTTCCATGTTGCACGCTCCTGTGTGTGTGTTTGTGTGTGTGTGTGTGTGTGTGTGTGTATGTGTGTGTGTGTTTGTGTTTGGTAAAAAAGAGAAGACTTTTAATGGATATGTATTCATTTTCTAGCATCATGGACCATAGAATCTAGGACTCTACAGGAAGCTGCTCCCCATAAGCCTAATGTCACGATGCCTGTACCTCGCTGTTATCTGCCTCCCGTCTTTTTTTGTATCTTCCTTTGGAGATGAAACGGCTCCCATCAGTCTGTATCTGCCTGTGAACGCACGCTTTTCCATTTTCCTGCCTGTACTTCGTTCTCCACTCAATGCATGTACTTCCTCCCCACACCTTCTTCCATAAATCAGCTCATTGGCTGAATGTGTGTGTGTGGTTGGTCATTGTCATATGAGTTCTCATGTATGTGAGTTTGTATTTTTCTGGCTCACCTGCTGTTGTGCAGCATTATGGTTGTATGCTGCCAGAGAAATTCCTTGTTTATTTTAGAAATTGGAAAGAACTTTTGATTGCTCCTTGTTAAAATTGGTTCTTTAGTTGGAAGCCTGAGAATAAACCAGAGTAGATCAAGAGTACAAATATGACATTTATTGATCACAAGCTAAGTATATCAGCGCTGGGCTCTCACAGACAAAGGTCCCGCATGATCTCAGTTGGCAAGAGCCTCGATTTCCGGGTGTGATGGGCAGGTATCCTCTGGGCCGGGCCTCGAAAAGGGGAGGACGGCTGGGCGTAACCGAATGTTATTGGCCAGTTAGTTCGGTCATGTACAGGCCAGAGACTTTAATTCATGCAGATTTCAGTGAAATATGATAAGAAAATGTGTGTGTGTATGTTGACCTTGAAGACGTGTATCTACTGGGACAGAGAGATGAGGAGGAGGCACAGCCAGAGAGTTTAACCCAAAAGTAGAATTATAAATGGAATAATATGAATTTAAAGGAATAAGACAATCAGTCATTTACATGGATTAAGTTGTAGCATGCCATGCTAAAGTAAGTAATTATAGCCCAATTCTAACATCCTCAACAGAAAACCGTGGACTGCATGACGACCATGTCTGTACCCTCCACGCTGGTCAAATGCCTCTACTTGTTCTTTGACTTACCCCACATGGCTGAGGCTCCCGCTGGCCCCACCCCACAGTCATCACAACCCGCCCCCAATCAGGAGAAGACTCCAGGCCAGGGCCACACCCAGGCGGATCTGCCTTTGGCTGACCGCAGAGCCCTGCTCCAAAAAGTTTTTGTCCAGGTAAAGAGACCAGAGGACAGTGACATCTAAACAATTCCATTTATTTTCTTTCACTTTATATAGACTTGTTTAGTTTAACAAGCTGTATACTGACTCAAGTTAATGTTTTTAGTTAATCTGCTCACTGACTTAAAGATTTTAACACATCCGTGATACAAGGGGGGGTCATTCATATGAAACACTTTTCTATCTGTGATGAAAGGCTTGGGTCTGGGTTTGCAATGCTTTTTTTCTTATTCCATCTGTGATTATCTTGTTTTCTAGCTGTTAATAAATAATTAGAAAAATAAACAAAAACTCCTCTGCAGATCCTGGTGAAGCTTTGCACCTTTGTGTCTCCGGCGGAGGAGCTGGCCCAGAAGGACGACCTTCAGCTTCTGTTTAGTGCCATCACATCCTGGTGCCCCCCTCACAACCTGCCCTGGAGGAGGAGTGCAGGGGAGGTTCTGACCACAATCTCAAGACATGGCCTCAGCGTCAACGTGGTCAAATACATACATGGTAATCTCAGTTTGTCTGGATCTAGAACAGCTGTGGATAAATATGGTACCCGGCTGTTAAAAATCTCACTTTATTTTATCCGAAACTCCTGAGCCATCTCTGGTATCTATACATTTTGGTACCAAAGCAGAATATGAATAGTCTTTCTAATCTTTCAAGGTGGCCATGTGGAGTTCTCCTGTCTTTCTCAGGACTTTTTTTTTTTGCGTGGACATTGGTTGCTTTTCCCCTCTCTTTAAGTCCAGTCCTTAAAGCAGTTACTGTCATGAGGGTGGGTTTTGACGGAGGACTCAGGTGCGGAGATGAGGGGAGAACAAGGTTTATTGTAACAAAAAACTCATGAGTGAATGTCCAGACAAAGTACAAATCAAAGCTGTGGAAAACTGTGAGCAAAGTAACAAAGCAATAAGCAAACAAGACTGAGGCAAAACTATGACTGTGACAAAGTAACAAATGACAAAACTATGGCAAAACTGTGACTATGACTGTGGCAAAAACTGTGACAAAAACAAACCTGGCGTGGGGGAGACGACGGACAAGACGGACTAGGACAAGAGACGAAAACGCACTCGCCCCGACAAGGGGAAACAGGACTATTTAAACACATGAGGAGGGGAACCCCAGGTGTACACAATGGGTAATCATGACATGACGAGACACCAGACGTGACAGTTACCATATTTTCAGCACTATAAGGCGCAACTAAAAGCCTTCAATTTTCTCAAAAACCGACAGTGCCGCTTATAATCCAGTGTGCCTTATATATGGATCAAGATTTAGCTGCAACAGGTCTCGCAACTAGGGGAAGCAGCTGCCAACCCCATTTTCTCCCTTAGAAGAAGTAGCGCAGTGCATGCTGGGATATATGACTGCGCGAAGCGTGCATTTTCATTTCATGTAATTTCATTTCATTCAGCTGAACAAGGTTGGTCATATTGTGAATATGTATATCAACATTTGAACAACGTTGAGTTATTGTTGTATTGTTATTGCTTTGCACTATTTCAAGAGTTACTATATTATGATTTCAATAACGTTTGATTTACGGTAATGGTATCAGACTGTTTCTTTTACGTGTTTATTGAATCGAGGAAAAGTTCCTCTCCACTATGTGATAAAAACGTTGCACTACCCATTATACATAGTTGTTGTTAAAAGTTAAACAAAAAAAAAAATAAAATAAAATAAAAGATAAACCGTGTCACGAAAACACTGACATTATCTCGTGAAAAATAATAAAACAGCTGTTAATTCATTTTGGGAATTGTCAGAACGCTGGTTTGTATTCTATTAATAATAATAGTTTGATAGACTTATCTGACAGTTTTGTTGACATTCTCTTTAGCGCAGCTGCATCTGGCGGATGCATAATGCAACCCCAGCCACTACTGTAGCTTCTATTATATGCGTCTTATAATGCTTTATATGTGGAAATAAGTTTTAATTTTTCAGGCAGAGAAAAATACAGTTAACCCAAGGGATGAAACAGTGTTTTGTCTTCACATAATTGCCAACATAGAAAAAAACAATTTAAGAGGGCACATCTTGTTTTTGCCTCTTTTCAGAGAAAGAGTGCCTGGCAACTTGTGTTCAGAATATGCAACAGTCAGATGACCTCTCCCCACTGGAGATCGTAGAGATGTTCGCTGGCCTCTCCTGCTTCCTGAAAGACTCCAGCGGTGTGTCTCAGACCCTGCTGGATGACTTTAGGATGTGTCAAGGTTACACCTTCCTCTGTGACCTCATGCTCAGGTACCAACTACATTTTTGTTGCTTCAGCTCTTAATTCGGTAGTTGCTCAGCCATTTCTACAGAATGTACCTACGTTTGCAGGCTGGAACAGGCCAAAGAGGACGAATCAAAAGATGCACTGAAGGACCTTGTCAACCTGGTCACTTGTCTGTCCACGTATGGGGTGATGGAGCTGAAACCAGCAGGCCTGACAACTGGAGCTCCCTTCCTGCTGCCAGGATTTGTTCTGCCTCAGCCGTCTTGTAAAGGTATGTTAAGCCAGCTTTCACATACAGGGCCCGCATTACTGCAGACGCTGGACCGATCCGCCTATCGATCTCACGCTCCCTACCCCCATTCGCGAACAAGACCCCGAGGTACTTTAACTCCTCCACTTAGGGAAGGACGTCTCCCCTGACCCGGAAAAGGCACTCCAGCGAGAGCTGTAGGTCACGACTTTATGAAGCCAACAGGACCACATCATGTGAGATGTGATCCTAAGGCCACCAAGACTGACACCCTCGACACCTCGGCTGCGCCTAGAAATCCTGTCCATAAAAGTTATGAACAGAACCGGAGGAGTCCAACTCCCACCAGAAACTGATCCGAATTACTACCGTCAATGCGAACCAAGCTCTGACTCCGATCGTACAGGGACCGAACAGCCCGTAACAAATGGCCCGGTACCCAATACTCCCGGAGCACCCCCCACAGGATACCCCGAGGGACACGGTAGAACGCATTCTCCAAGTCCACAAAACACATGTGGACTGGTTGAGTGAACTCCCATGCACCCTCCAGGACCCCGCTGAGGGTATAGAGCTGGTCCAGCGTTCCACGGCCAGGACGAAAACCACACTGCTCCTCCTCAATCCGAGGTTCGACTATCCGACGGACCCTCCTCTCCAGAACCGCTGAATAGACCTTCCCATGGAGGCTTAAGAGTGTGATCCCCCTGTAGTTGGAACACACCCTTCGGCCCCCCTTTTTAAATGGGGGGGAGCACCACCCCAGTCTGCCAATCCAGCGGAACTGCCCCTGATGTCCACGCGATGTTGCCAGGAACTCTGGCCGAATCTCATCCACCCCCGGAGCCTTGCCACCGTGAAGCTTTTTGGCTACCTCGGTGACTTCAGATTGGAGAGCCCAACTCCAGATCCTCAGGCTCTGCCCCTCCAATGGAGGACGCGCCAGTGGGATTGAGGAGGTCTTCAAAGTACTCCGCCCACCGACCCACAATGTCACGAGTTGAGGTCAACAGCACGCCATCCCCACTGTAAACAGTGTTGGTTGAGCACTGCTTTCCCCCCCGAGACGGCGGATGGTGGACCAGAATCGCCTCAAAGCCATACGGAAGTCTTTTTCCATGGCCTCCCCAAACTCCTCCCACGCCCGAGTTTTTGCCTCGGCAACCACCCGAGCCGCATGTCGCTTGGACTGCCGATACCCATCTGCTGCCTCTGGAGTCCCACAGGCCAAAAAGGCCCAATAGGACTCCTTCTTCAGCCTGACAGCATCCCTCACCACTGGTGTCCACCAGCGGGTTCTAGGGTTGCCGCCACGACAGGCACCGACAGCCCTGCGACCGCAGCTCCGGGAGGCCGCTTCATTAATGGAGGTGCGGAACAAGGCCCACTTGGACTCAATGTCCCCCTCCTCCCCCGGAACGTGCTCGAAGCTCGAGATGGGAGTTAAAGCTCCGCCTAACAGGGTACTATGTCAGGCGCTCCCAGCAGACCCTCATAAATGCGTTTGGGCCTCCCTGGTCTCACCGGCATCCTCCCCCACCATCGCAGCCAACTCACCACCAGGTAGTGGTCAGTGGAAAGCTCCTCCCCCCTCTTCACCCGAGTGTCCAAGACATGCGGCCGCAGATCAGTCTAAATGACAACAAAGTCGATCATTGAACTGCGGCCTAGAGTGTCCTGGTGCCAAGAGCACATATGGACACACTTATGCCTGAACATGGTGTTTGGACAATCCGTGCCGAGCACAGAAGTCCAACAACAAAACATCACTCGGGCTCAATCTGGGGGGGGGCATTCCTCCCAACCACGCCCCTCAAGGTCTCACTGTCATTGCCCACGTTAGCGTTGAAGTCCCCCAGCAGAACAAGGGATTCCCTGGGGGGGCACCCCCTCCAAGGACTCCAGGAAGGGTGGGTACTCTGAACTGCTGTTAGGTGCATAAGCACCAACAACAGTCAGTGCCCGTCCCCCCACCCGAAGGCGAAGGGATGCTACCCTCTCGTTCACGGGGTTAAACCCCAACGTACAGGCACCAAGATGGGGGGGAATGAGTATGCCCACTCCTGCTCGGCGCCTCTCACCGGGGGCAACTCCAGAGTAGAAGAGCGTCAAACCCTTCTCAAAAAGGGTGGTTCCAGAGCCAGAGCTGTGTGTCGAGGCGAGACCGACTATGTCTAGCCGTAATCTCTCCGCCTCGCACACCAACTCAGGCTCCTTCCCCGCCAGTGACGTGACATTCCACGTCCCAAGAGCCAGCTTCTGCAGCCGGGGATCGGTTCCCCAAGGTCCCCGACTCCGGCTGCCACCTGCTCCACATTGCACCCGACCCCTTTGGCCCGTTCTATGGGTGGTGAGCCCAATGGAGGGGGGGCCCATGTGGCCTCTTCGGGCTGAGCCCAGCCGGGCTCCATGGGATAAAGCCCAGTCGCTCGCCAGTGTGCCCCACCTCTGGGCCTGGCTCCAGGATGGGGCCTGCGTCTGGGCGAGGGAACACTGGGTCCATTTATATTTTTCTTCATAAGGGGTCTTTGGGCTGCGCTTCGTCTGATCCCTCACCTAGGACCTGTTTGCCTTGGGTGACCATAACAGGGGCTTGACGCCCCAGACAACATAGCTCCTAGGATCACTGGGACACTCAAACCCCTCCACCACGAAAAGGTGGCAGCCCAGGGAGGGGAGGATTGCAACAATTTAGGAAAAAGAAAGTGTTTGTCATGGCTGCAGCAGTCTTAAAAGACAGATGTCTAGAATTAGAATATCACAACATGTAAGTCTTCATCTACAGTTGGGTTTCACGTCCCTTTATGTAAGATCGGGAATGCTCTTGAATGTCTGCTTCAATCATACCAGCTTCCTACATTTAAAATCTTTGCTTCACTTTCTCCGTGGTAATTTGTATACTTACACAATGCAATGTTGTTTCAGATGGGATTATTTCAGATTGAAATGTTCTTTTTTCCCTCCAGGCCACACAGTGCGTAATATCCAGGCCTTTGCTGTGCTCCAGAATGCTTTCCTACGGGCCAAAACGAGCCGTCTTGCCTGCATGCTGATTGATGCCATTGGGAACATCTACGCAGCTGAGCCAGCGAACTACTTCATCCTGGAGTCCCAGCACACCCTGTCGCAGTTTGCAGAGCGTGTGGCCAAACTCCCAGAGGCACAGACCAAGTACTTTGAACTGCTGGAGTTTGTGGTCTTCAGCCTGAACTATGTGCCGTGTAAGGAGCTGTTCAGCGTCAGCGTCCTGCTCAAGTCAAGCACGTCACACGCCTGCAGCATCACAGCCGTGCGGACCCTCTTGAAGCTTTCCAGACATGACCCGGTGTTCAGCGACGTGCTTCGGGAGGTCGGCCTACTGGAGGTGCTAGTCAACCTGCTGCACAAGTACGCTGCCCTGCTCAAAGACCCGGCCTCGCAACAGCAGCCACACAGTAATGACCAAGGTGGGTATGTCTTTCTGTAAGTTATGTGGCTACTTGCTGTGTTCCTTTGCAGCATCACTCAAATAATCTCAGGTTGTCCATCTGGAAGGGCATAAACTTCAGGATAATTTCCTTTGGTGAAAGCATGCAGGCTAATGAATTGGGCTAATGTTTGCATTACCATTGTGGGGTTGTAATACCATGCTTATTAGCACTAAACCAGGATATGGGAACATATCTAATGCATGTTATTCGTTTATTTAGTAATATTTCTAAAGTTTCATCAAATTTGCTCTAAATGTTGAATGCGAGAAACAGCCAAAGGTGCAAAGGCTTTCTTAAAAAGTTGACATTATTTGGGCCGCAGCCGTAGCCTAATGGTTAGAGCGGGCGGCCCATGTGCAGAGCCTCTACTCGCAAGCGGGCGGCCTGGGTTCGAATCCAGCCCACGGCCCTTTCCCGCAGGTCTCCCCCTCTCCATCTCTGCCCCCTTTCCTGTCAAGCTACTGTCATTAAAGGCCACTAGAGCCAACAAAATCTTGGCTCTAGATTCAATTGATTAGATTCTTATAGGCTAAATTGGTTTGTATTTTTAAGTACCTCGAGATGACATTGATTGTCATTTTGCACTATCCATCCATTATCGTTACTGCTTATCCCCTGATTGGGTCGCTGGGAGAACTGGAGCCTATCCCAGTGGTCAATGGGCGAGAGGCGGGGTACACCCTGTACAGTCCGCCAGTCCATCGCAGGGCCACAAACAAGACATACAAGGACAAACAACCATGCACACTCACATTCACTCCTAAGGGCAATTTGGAATGTCCTATCAACCTAACATGCCAGGTTTTTGGACTGTGGGAGGAAGCCGGATAACCCGGAGAGAACCCACGCAGACACAGGGAGAACATGCAAACTCCACACAGAAAGGTACTGGGACTCGAACCCAGAACTTTCTTGCTGTGAGGCGACAGTGCTAACCATCACACCACCGTGCCGCCCTCATTTTGCACTTTATGAATAATTTATAAATTAGCTAAAAATGTATTCTTCAACCTTTTCAAACGTCTCAGATAAAACAATATGGTCTGAAATAAATGGCAGAATCACTTCCTCTAGTAATGGAACGCAAGTGGACTTTATCTTCAAATCTACTGGTCGAAAATGAGATCTTTATCATGTTGTTCTTCCCTGTGTATCCTCCATCTCTTTTCAGCAGACTGCAAAAACAACACGGTGGCAGAGGAGCAGAAGCAGCTGGCCTGGCTGGTGATGGAGACACTGACTGTGCTGTTGCAGGGCTCCAACACCACCAACACTAATGCAGGTAACTCATTGCATTTAAAGCCCAGTCTGAGATGATATTTCAGGATTTGCATGTAGATTTGGCAACAGCTCCAGCGCTGCAGTTCACAGGATTTAAATCCTTTAAAGTATTTAACATACAGGGGTTGGACAATGAAACTGAAACACCTCTCATTTTAGTGTGGGAGGTTTTATGGCTAAATTGGACCAGCCTGGTGGCCAATCTTCATTAATTGCACATTGAACCAATAAGAGCAGACTCTGAAGGTCCAGTTAGCATGGTAAGAGCACAGTTTTCCTCAAAATATTGCAATGCACACAACATTATGGCTGACATACAAGAGTTCAAAAGAAGACCAATTGTTGGTGCACGTCTTGCTGGCGCATCTGTGACCAAGACAGCAAGTCTTTGTGATGAATCAAGAGCCACGGTATCCAGGCTAATGTCAGCATACCACCAAGAAGGACGAACCACATCCAACAGGATTAACTGTGGACGCAAGAGGAAGCTGTCTGAAAGGGATGTTCGGGTGCTAACCCGGATTCTATCCAAAAAACATAAAACCACGGCTGCCCAAATCACAGCAGAATCAAATGTGCACCTCAACTCTCCTGTTTCCACCAAAACTGTCCGTCGGGAGCTCCACAGGGTCAATATACACGGCCGCGCTGCTATAGCCAAACCTTCGGTCACTCGTGCCAATGCCAAACGTCGGTTTCAGTGGTGCAAGGAGCGCAAATCTTGGGATGTGGACAATGTGAAACATGTATTGTTCTCAAATGAGTCCGCCTTTTCTGTTTTCCCCAAATCCGGGAGAGTTACGGTGTGGAGAAACCCCAAAGAAGCGCACCACCCAGACTGTTGCATGCCCAGAGTGAAGCATGGGGGTGGATCAGTGATGGTTTGGCCCCATACTTGTGCTAGATGGGCGCGTCACTGCCAAGGACTACAGAACCATTCTGGAGGACCATGTGCATCCAATGGTTCAAACACTGTATCCTGAAGGAGGTGCCGTGTATCAGGATGACAATGCACCAATACACACAGCAAGACTGGTGAAAGATTGGTTTGGTGAACATGAAAGTGAAGTTGAACATCTCCCATGGCCTGCACAGTCACCAGATCTCAATATTATTGAGCCACTTTGGGGTGTTTTGGAGGAGCGAGTCAGGAAACGTTTTCCTCCACCAGCATCACGTCGTGACCTGGCCACTATCCTGCAAGAAGAATGGCTTAAAATCCCTCTGAGCACTGTGCAGGACTTGTATATGTCATTCCCAAGACGGATTGACGCTGTATTGGCCGCAAAAGGAGGCCCTACACCATACTAATAAAGTATTGTGGTCTAAAACCAGGTGTTTCAGTTTCATTGTCCAACCCCTGTATGTTGTAATTAATTGGAGCTGCAGGTGACTTTTTTGTTGTACAGGACGTTGAGATGAATCTGAATCATAGAAGGAGACAGACTATGATTGTACTTTAAGTCTTGTTTATGCTTAAAGGCTAATGGCGGTATTCGATGATTAATTCATTTTTTCCACTAGTAGGCCAAAATCCCATTGGTCTGCAATAAACAAAAGAGTCTTAACAGTTTTCTTTACCAACTCCAGTATGCAGTAACTGTACCGCCTGAACCCCTGTTGTGGTAGTAAAACATTTGCCCTCAAGGGATTAGGAAAGTATCTCACTAAAAAATGTTAATTGTCCCCAAAGAAATTTAAGCTGTTGCTGTTGCTGAAAATGTGTTTGTGTTTCAGTCAGATGTAGAAATGTGGTGAGTCACAAACATGACTCAGTGACAGCTCAGAACTCTCTTTTATCTGATGGCGATTGCCCATATTCGTCATAGAAGCACACACATTGTGTGACATTTGTGGCACTTCACAGTCTGGACATTGTTTTCCATCTCCTGATTAAAGCCCATAGCTGGCTACTTGACCAAGGGCGTTGGAATGGATGTTTGTGTAAAAATATGTTTCTTGACAATAGTGATAGGATAATGAAGGAGATCACAAAAATATCTCTATTAATTAAAAAGAATAACAGCTTGTTCAGATACAACCCACTAAGAAATTGGATAGACAGTTAGATTTCCTTTTGTCGCCAGTATTATACTTCTTTTACCAATATGCATGAATTTACTGTTTGATTTTTCACATTTAGTTTTTTGGTTCGTGAAAGATAGAAATTTGGATGTGAAATAAAGCATGAAAAAATATAAACTATATGATAATTATAAAATGGGAGTACATGCAACATATGTTTCCTTATCTTCGGGAGTTTTCTGCTGTGTTCATTGTCCCTAATGAAATGGGCTTACTAACTCAAAATCCAACCATCTTTAAACCATGCTTGTACAGTGCAATCTGGTACAAATAAACAGGGGTTCATTTATTTATTGTGCAGCTTTTGCAATTACAAATATTCACCAGCAGTAACACAGTTCATGAAAAAAAAGAAACCAAAACAAACAACTAAAGCTGGTCTGTTTATTTGTCCAATCAGAATAGACAGATTGGCTCAGTATCATAGTAGCCACTGGTGTTGCTTACATTTTGAAAAAGAAAAAAATATGTTGATATATGTTGATATATGATATGACATTACAAGGGACTTATTGTGGCCCCTTTTTTTATTCCACTATAAAGTACTTTAATCAGCCAAACCTTTGGTAAAACATGCATTAACCTAACTTTGGCTCCTACCAATTACCCCCCTCAAACCCATATGGCGTGTTTGGAAAAAATATTCATATGAGACTTAAGATTTTGAGTGTAGTCAGATAACTTTCTGTAAATGTTAGTTTTAAGTCTTTTGTCAATGATTTACAGATTGAATTAGTCCTCACTATCCAGATGTCTCAGTCAAGCATTGATAAGGGCTGTCTGTATAGTGAGCATAGAGGAATGTGCACTAAAAAAGTAGTGCTCAGGTTGGTGCTGCTGGGTCATTCTCTCTTTGGTCCCGCAGCTCTGTTCAGAGAGTTCGGTGGTGCTCGCTGTGTTCACAACATTGTGAAGTACCGCCAGTGTCGAGAACACGCCCTCCTCATCATCCAGCAGCTTGTCCTGTCACCCAGTGGCGACGATGACATGGGAACGTTGCTGGGCCTCATGCACTCAGCACCGTCCAGTGAACTGCAGCTGAAGGCCGACATAATGAAGGTATGGGTACACAGAACTTTGCTTCCTCAGTTGTGCCAAACTTCGGTCCTTGGGTGGTAAGCTGTACTGCAGGTTTTAGATATTTCCATTCCTCTCTACACTTGATTCTGATTAAATTTATCTCTGCAAAACATTTGAAACCCTGCCCTGGCCTTCTAATGTTGCATTGATGTGAAGCAGGTGAATTGAAGCAGGGAAGCATCTAAACCTTGCAGGACAAGAGTTGGACACCTGTGATTTGTGGCACTTTTCCTCGTCACAGGTCTAATTCATGTCTTTACATAGATGTTTGACATAGGAATCTGGTATTCCTTTTGGGGGGATTTTCCTTACTTTTCCTTGCGTATGGCTTACTTTATAAATAAATACCTCTTCAGGCAGGCAGAGTTAATTAATATGATTTCGGCACTAGTTAAAGCTGTCAGGAATTTTCACTGAGAACATAGAGAAAAGGAAAAGTCTGCGATTTCAAAAATCAATATTCATTTGAAGCCTTTCCGTTGGTAATTGCTCCAATTTGTGATCTCTGAGAGTTAGGTACTCATAAAAGCTTTGCAGCACAAACACACACACACACACACACACACACACACACACACACACACACACATATATACACAGATGGGAGATGCATGATAGCATTTTCAGTTTCCCTGCCTGTGGAATAAGTAATTCTCATACGCTCCGGAGGCTTCTGTTGGATTAACTTGTCAGCATTTTACCTTCCTTTGGCTGATCAGGGATTTTAATTACCACTGAAAAGAAATTCAAATCCAATCTTGTTTGATCATTATGTTCTTCGTTTGCACTTCATTACCACAAATAATTTCAATTCAGACATATTAATAGATTTTAAGTTCTCAAAGAAAACACCCATTTTACTGTCTGGATCTGAAATGTTGCATTAAGCCATCCACATGGCTTTTAAAGTCAACATTCCAATCGTAAATTTGATGTAACATGACTTCTCAGCATGAAGCTGTTTTAAGAAAAACTTTGTGCTGAATCAGCTTTTTTATGACCAGGAAACAGCTGGTTCAGTGGTGCAACAAAACACTATGTTGCTTCTCTTTTTCTCTCTCCTTTTCCAATTAAAATCACATCTGAGCTACCCCTGGTACTTTGCTGTGTAATCCCACGGAAACTAGAATACAGCAAAAAGGTTATCTCAGTGGCCTCTTTACTGCTGCTTGTGGCAAAACTTTAAGAAACAAGAATATTTCGACATCTGTTTGTGAATTGCAGCCTAATGATAATGAAAAGAAGGTGAGGTTTGCATGTGTCGTACTCCTGTGATTGATTTTAAAATCATCAAACAGATTTCAGCTTCATCTGCCAAAGCAGTTTCACGAAGTTAGCCATGTTAATATTAAATGTCATAAAGTAAAAGAAATGACAATGGATATTAATCCATTTGTGTTTTTTGTCTGCTGAAATACTTTCCTTTGTCATACATGACTTTCCCCCAATGTTTTCAAATTTTTCTCAATTGATAGCTGTGTCTCAAAGGGCAAGTGAAATTATCACACCAGATAAAGAAATCTCATTAATTCCAGACTAAAAACATGTCACTGGAAAGATTATCATTATTTTCATCATTTTTAACTTTAACAACCAGTTTTTACTGACTGTATTTTTAAGTTCATCTGTGGCCAGTTTCTACTGAGTATTTTCTCCTTATTTGACATTTAACAACAATCCATACCATAGTCATCCAAATGTTCTTGGGCCTCTCTTATGTCCCTAGAACCATATAGAGGTTTCCTTTTCTATTCACATGAATGCTATAAAACAATTAACAATGCAGCCATTGGACTGAAGCAAAGATGCCCAGAGGGGCTAATGAAAATGTCACATTGAAACAAGAAAAGTAAATGAGCTTATGAACACAGCTATGACAGAATAGGGTTATAAAAATACATTTTTGGAAAGAATGATTTAGTAGCATTTCAAATTAAAAGAGAAGGCATTTATTTGAGGCATAAGCAAGAAAGACTTTGTTGGTAGCATTTCATCAATGTTCAGGTGTTCGCCTTCTCCGTCCTCAGGCTTTATTGTCGGTGTTGCGTGAGAGTCACCGCACGCGGACGGTGTTCCGCAAGGTGGGCGGCTTTGTCTATGTCACCTCCCTCTTGGTAGCCATGGAGCGCTCACTGTGCCAGCCGCCCCAGCATGGCTGGGAACGTGTCAACCAGAACCAGGTCTTCGAGCTTCTGCACACAGTTTTCTGCACCCTCACTGCCGCCATGCGCTATGAGCCAGCCAACTCGCACTTCTTCCGCACAGAGATCCAGTATGAGAAGCTTGCTGATGCAGTGAGGTAAAAACTGGCAGAAAAATGCATTGTCTCTGCTATTCCAATGACTTAGTGGTGCTTTACCCCCATATGAAGGCACTCATCATTACAGTTACAGTCTCTGAACCTTGAGCTTGTGAAGACTACTTTCTGTATTGAAAGCTTTGACTAACATTAATGTACATTAAGCCATTTGTTGTGTGGATCATAGCTGGTTAGTCAGAGAGGTCACAAAAGTTCAATTGACGAAAGTTTACTGAAAAATGTACTTGAATCCTCAGTCCTTTTGATTGGTTGTAAAGCTCATTTGGGCAGTTTATCCTCTTAATTATGACCAGGCTTTCTTCATATTAACGTTTTTGCCTCCTATTCTCCTCCAGGTTGCTTGGTTGTTTCTCAGACACTAAGAAGCTTGGTCCCACCTCAGTGTTCCCCTCCAATGCTCAGCCTTTCCAGAGGCTGTTAGAGGATGAGGCTGCACCTGGGGGCTGTGCAGGGGACAGTGTCTGCCCCACGCTCAAACACTGCAGCAAGCTGTTCATCTACCTTTACAAGATGGCTACTGATTCATTTGACAGGTCAGTGAGCCACAGGAACTTCTAGTCTCTACCTTTGGATTAAAGCACTTCTGTTTTATGTTATCAAGTGTCACAATAAGACATCTCATGTTGTGCCTCATGCAGAACTTTTCCTTGAACTAAAAACTATGGTTTTAGCAAACTGAGTTCACACAGATGTTATGTTCTAGGGTCTACTCTAAGTTAGGTGCCTTTTTTTACATGTGTGTATGTATATGTATTTATATATATATTAACGTATGTGATGACTAAATGAAAAATAAGTAAGAAAAACATTAAACACATCGGAGGTTTCTGACCTACTTCTATATGTATAAATATATGTTTGTATGAATTTCACACACACAAACATATATATATAATAGAGAGAGAGGGAGAGAGAGAGAGTAAAATAGATATTGATAGATTATAAATATAATGGACCACTTGTTTTGTTAGAACACACAGCACTATATTTAGTCAATTTAATGTATACATTTAAATGATTTTTAATTTAGTCACAAGATCTTTTCTTTTTTTGGTCTACTTTTGTTCTTTAAAAAAAAAATCCTTCTGCTGTTTAAGTTTCTTCAACCAATTTAGCTAGTGTAAGGGTTTAAGTCTAGCCTACAAAACAACCTAAAAACCGCTGTGGATCATTCAAATTTGCTTTATAATAATCCAAGGAGGAAAGACATCAGCAATAATCTAATAGAAGCAAGTGTTGCTCTCCATCAATCTTGGAAGGATTAGAAGGCCACTTGGAATCTATTTGGAGTCCATCATAGAAGCGCATATCTGCCGGATCTGCTAAGTCCAGAGACTCTTTGGTTTGAAAGCTTGAAGCTGCTCCTCTTTTTGTACAGTCCTGTTCAGTCCATTTGAATGGTGGCTGCTGTAAATTCATATGTTTGATCATAAACACACTGCAGAACTGACTAATGATGGCCTTCTTGCCAGTGCTGCTGCGTTGTTGATTAAGAAGTCGACTTAAATACTAATTCTGTTCATCTTTCTTCCTTTTCCACTCTTTAGAAAGTGATCTCTCTGTCACACTGCATGCTTAAACCATGTGAAGGTCTGCCTGCAACTCTAATTGCTTTCCACTAACTTCTTCCTTCCTTCTCTTCTCCCTCCCCTTTCCTTCCTCTAATATCTTGTACTGTCTTGGCTCATCATCTTGTGTCTGGGCTTTCTGCACGGTTGCCGTTTGTGTGTGTGATTTGTTTCTGTTTTTTGTGTGTCTCTGCGTGTGTGGGGCCACGCAGTCGTGCAGAGCAGGTGCCTCCATGCCTGACTCACGAGACCTCTCTGCCCTCTCCATGGGGCACGCCAGCGCTCGCCAGGAAGAGGTAGCTACAGCATTCTGCCACCTTCCTCACCTTCATCCCTTCCTCCTCGTCAGTTGATGCTCAGAGCTTAGTTTTAGAGCCAAAAAATCACTGATCACAATGTTTCAGTCGTGCTATAGACTTTAACTGCCTTCCTTTAGTATTAAAACAAATTAAATTATCTATGATCCCAATCATGACTTTACTCTTGTTATATCCCAACTAAAAATCTGTTACGGGTAATAACAATTCCAGATTTTCCTGTCAGTTTCAATTCAGTTCAGTTACTGATAAGATGTAGTTCATGTAACTAACCAGAAAAGTCTGTTTCACTTATTGTGTCAGAAAGAAAACTGTAGATAAAACAAGCCAAGCACAAAGTCTATTTGAGATAATTTATTCCACATCTAAGACTTGAATTAGCTCAAACCGAGAGGCTCCTGTAAAGTACCCCACTTTTTCATGTTTGGATTCTTTTCAAGCCTGCATATTGATGGTGATAGTGCCACCGCCTGTTTTATTTATAAATATAAGTCTTAGAATTGAACATATAATAAACACTCTTTACACATTTTTCACACTGCTTTAACAGTTGCTGTCTGTTTCTGGCCGTGACAGTGCCTGTCCTGATGTAGGAGTTTCAGATGTCTTCTGCATACTGTATGTTTTGTTATCAGTTTATGAAGCACCACAGCAGTTGGAATGTGGTGAAGTAGGAAGCCTCCAGTACACTTGATTTTATTCCAAAATTGAGTCAGATTAGTTATTTCTTTGTCCTCTCAGGCTATAACTGGTCATTTCCAGTTTCCTGCCCTCTATCCATTTTATGCTGACTGCCCTCCACCTTCTCTCCAGCATCTGTCATGAGGGAAAGATTTGCCGCTTTGTAATTTGCATCAGAGAAACACGTCTGTTTTGCATAATAGGCTGACTTCAGGCTCCCGTAGATGTCTAAGTCATTAGGGGAGGACTGCTAGCTCATTAACTAAAGTTACGGTCAGCCTGGGTGTTTTTTTCTTCATTTCTTCTTTTTCACCAATGCATGAATAATCTTTGTGGCTTCTCATTATGAAACATTCACATGTGAAAGGCCCAAAAAAAAAAAAATGGAAAACTTAAATGTTAGATCTTTTTTTCAGTTTTGTCATTGATTTAAATCTAACCCCTTTTCTTTTTCCTCGTGCTTTCAGACATGGCTACTACGGTACATCAGGCCCCCCTGCCCCGGTCAAAGTGCTGTCTGACCTTAAGCTCAGCCTAACTAACCCCTCCAGCCCTACTCCCTTTTCCTCCTCCTCATCTGACATGGTGGTTATCCACCCAGGGGCAGTCCTGGCCATTGTGGATCTGCTGCCCTCTGTTTCCTCTGACAGCCAACCAGAGGTGAGAAAACAAAATAAGGAAGTGAACATCCTGCAAAAGTTGTGTTAGACGGAGGGCAGGAAGGTACGTCTTTGGTCTGTCAGAACTCACACAGCCAGTTACAGCCAGCTATTTTTTAATGCTTAGTTATATTTGAATTGTTGGATTAAGAGAGCTTTTTACATCATTACTTTGTCAATATCAAAAGGAAAAGATGCTGGCGAGTACAATAATAAGACACCTCCTCACTCAAATGTCAAATCTGACGGTTTTGTCCTTTTCACATTCTCCTCCCTATCTCCTGCTAGCATGCCCTCGACCTACAGCTAGCAGTGGCCAACTTTCTCCAGCTGCTGGTGAACAGTGAGCGGAACCAGCAGGTGTTGTGTGAAGCCAGCCTTCACCAGCGGCTGCTGCAGCGCTGCAGTCAAGCCCTCGGGGATGAAGACCACCCACTGCACCCACCGCTGCAGAGGATGTTTGAGCGGCTGGCCTCACAGGCACTACAGCCGATAGCACTCAGGTACCAGATCCGGCATAGGAAGGTTTTGATTACTTTAACCCAGAAGCGCAAACATAAGAAACCTCTGAATATTTCAAAGTTGTAACTCAGTGCCAGGGGAAAAGCAGAAAATAATAAATGATCTTCTTGAGAACGAAAGAAGGTATCTATATTTTTTTAAACCAGTAATAACGTTAAATGTACTCCTCCATTGGATTGACTGGATAAAGTTAATTTTTGGCACAATTCAGTGTGACGATACAAGCATTTCATCATCTGTCTGTCTAAAGAGAGGTTGAGGAATAGGACGAGAGCTACTTTTTATGTACATTTCTGGTTGTTTTCATATGTAAAAACAGGCTTTCTGGTTGCCCTTTCAACCTTCAACTATTCAGAAGATCAACAAATCTGCATCCTTCAGCCTGTTTGCTATCCTGCTCTCTCTGCCTGCTTTTAGTCTCCTCCTGACAGCACATTCTTCTCCCCCCGCTTAGTTTTTTCTTTATACTTTCTCTGCTCTCCCATTGTAGCTGGCAGCAAATCTCCGGAGGCTTTCTGTTTTTTTTATGTCGCTCTGTGATTGTCTACTGCTTGGCTGTCAGTGTCGCTCACTCAGCACTCTGACAGCCCACACAAACCATCAATGAGACACTTTGCATTCACTAACATGCCATTCATCTGCATAACTGACTGAAACCTGCTGTTTACTGCAGATGGTGATACACAGACGTCATTTTGCAAAGTGACTTCACATTGATGTGATTTACAGTTCAATAAATCTCTTTGGGCAATGTAACCTTTAAATATACTAGCTTTTGTCACGGAGCGAGGAAGCATCTTGACCCACATGCACAGTGCCACTCAGGAGACCAGAGACCTTCAAGAATATTTATTGTAAAGTGTTCTGTGGTAGTGCTGGGAGGGGGAAAACAGTCCTGATCCGGTCAGACGAGGGTATCCCAGGGAAACAGGGGCTGGTGCTGTTGGGGGGCAGACAGGAGGGCTGAGGAATGAGGACAAACTGATTTCCAGTTTTGGGATGGCTTGGGTAGCCGGCTTCTGGAGAGGTTGTGCTGTATGCCACAAGGGAGAACACTTAAAAAAAAATGTGGAGAATATTATTCTGAGGAAAAACACTCGGAAAAGACTAAATTCTGTGCAGCTCGAGGTACCGCGTTGACACTCAGGCGAGGAATGAACTACAGCATGCTCCTTAAATGCCTCTGCTGGTGATCACCATAACCAGCTGAAGCTGTGCTTCACTGCCCTCCTGGTAGTTGAAGCTAAGAATAAAAGACGAACATACATACATGCACCTTAGAAATCACAACAGCTTTTGTAAATTAGGTAATTTGCAGTGGTGAATAACTCACATTTGGTCATAATGAAAAGTATCTATTAGATAATACTCATGTTTACCTTTTTGTGTCAGGGGCTTTTAGTTGGTTAAATGGTGCGTTAAGTCAAGTGTAATTTGATTCCTATGAAAGCCTAATTGTGTGATAGAATGACTGTATAATGGATCTTAGGTGGAAACAATCACTTCAGGGTGTCGGGTCAGGACACGGTAGGGAGCTTAAGGTGGTTGCAGTAAGAAGAGGCAGACTCCGTTAAGGAGTTTTGTTGGTTTATCAGCATTTAGGATAAACACTTGAGTGGGCGTGTGTGTGGTTTCTGGAATACAGACACACGGTACAGACTCAGAAATAGAAATAAAGTAAAACTCAAACAAACTATACTACCAACATTCAGCATGCAAAATATAATCAACAGGAATTAGCCTATTGCAACATAGCTTAGCTTATGGCTAATTAGCGGCTAACTCCAAGTCGCTCATTTGAGGCTAACTGTTAGTCACATGACACAAGCACAGCAAAACTACTGCAAAGTTATCGATGTAAACATAGGGGTTAACACAAAACTCAGGGTGTAACACAACGTAAACATTATAACTCACGGCTCTATGGACGCACACACTGCCGATCATTAAACAACGTCTGCTTCGGCTCGAATGCTATGCGTGTGGTGCGTTCAGGAACCTCGGTAAACGTAGGAATTTGCATATACGGGGATCGTCTTTTGTACACTAATACTATTTCTTTAAAGCCACTGAAATGGGTTTTATATGGATAAAAGCCACATTTATTTCTCAAAATGGTGTGTGTGTGTGTGTGTGTGTGTGTGTGTGTGTGTGTGTGTGTGTG